CACGTGCAATCAATACTTATTATTCCTCTCATTTACAATTAAAAGTTATACAATCAAAATTGTATAATAATGAAGATTACATATTTGTTATTAAAACATAAACGCTTTAAAATAAGTTCATTATTTTTTTCATGTAATAGAAGAGTTAACTTTCTTATATCTATATGCTTTAAGATGTATGATAGCACTTCTATAGTCAAATGGCCATCTTTATTCGGTAAATTTAAGATAGTAAAGTAATTATAATAGTAAAGGCTCATAAGATTAGAAATCAATCAAAGAAAGATGAAGCGTGGAGCCGTAACCAGGTGTTAATTGGTGTTCATATATTCTATACTTACGTATAAAGAAATAACGAATTGTAATGCATATCGTACATATACATATATTCCAATTTAATAAACTGCGCGCCGCAAATTTGTCGGACTTGAAACACAGCTATCTTGGAACATTAATACTCTTCCCTTCCCCGGAATTAAATCTACACGATTTAATTGTTTAAAAAACGTAAAGAATTTATTGCGAAAAATATTACCTCAGCCAGAATTTTTCGCAATAAATTCTTTATGTTTTTTAAACAATTAAAACGTGTAGATTTAATTCCGGGGAAGGGAAGGGTATTAATGTTCCAAGATAGCTGTGTTTCAAGTCCGACAAATTTGCGGCGCGCAGTTTATTAAATTGGAATATATGTATATGTACGATATGTACACTACAATTCGTTATTTCTTTATACGTAAGTATATAATATATGAACACCAACACCTTGTTACAGCTCCACGCTCCATCTTTCTTTGATTAATTAGTAAAATAATTGTTATTAAATTACAGCATTGTTTCCGAGCGTAAGTACCATATTTTATTTTTAGTTTGTTATTTATTTCTAAATGAATTATTAGTTAATTTTGAAGAAATTAATTTATAAAATAAAATACAGAAGCTCTTTTGATTTCATTATTAATCTATAAAACACAAAATTTGTGTATTTTGGATCATTTCTTTATTATCAGAATTAGAAACATCTATGTGTCTAATACATTGTTTTATATACATATTAATAAATATTTTAGTAAAATATTACGACAATAGTGATGTTATCTTTGAAATTCTGACATACATCTTTAATAGAGATTACATGAATAATTGCTTCGAGGACTTTTGAAGGACCTTGGATTCGAATATCTTTGAAGTTCGCTCTTTTGCATGCCAAGAACACCGTTCTGGTTTAAACTATTGAAGGATCACTTACCGTAGGCCTCGCAAGCCTCCCATTATTCACTGCGATCCGATTACGCGAGCTTCAGAGTTACTCGCGGCCGCATTCTGGATGTTCTCGTTAAGAACATCGACCGAGCTACGGTTTCCGGTTAACCGCCCTCTTCAAGGAACGTCTTCAACGTCGTCGCGTCGCGGCCTTGTCTCGCCGAGCAAATTGAATTTTGTTCGCAGTCATTTCCGCCTGCTGAAACCCGGCCGGGTGGAGAGGCTGTCCACCCTTCCGGCTGACAAAGAGCACGGCTCAGCCCGGACGGAAGAGATACGGTGTGAGTCGTTTTCTTTCATACACTTAGACATCAGCTACGTCTGCATCCTGTCTTTGGGATGCCCAGCAGGCCGATTCATCTTCTCAAGGATTAGAACGGGTTGAACGCGTCTAAAATGGATTGGATCCTTAGAAACTCGAGGTTTTTTTTAGGTCTACAGATTCTTAGAAATCCCTTTGGACTCTTTCAAGTAGTTCCTCGATTTTTCTAGAAAATCGAATTTTTGGGTCGAAACTTTGAAGATCATTAAACAATCTCTTTTTCATGTCCTTCAGGACTATTTATTCTTTTCAACAAAGTCGTTAAAATAACTTTGAGATTTCACAAAGAGCATAATATTTTTGTATTTATTCGAAATGAAATTGGGAAAATAATTAACTTATTACGAATAAACTTTTGAAAAGGGCAACATAATATGTACAGCGAAGTGGCACTCGGAAAGTCTTTATCTTTTCGAGGATTTTTGTGGTGGAATAAATTTCATTCACGCGCGAAAGAACTCGAGGACTCGGCCGTTAACGAAATTAGTAGTCCCGCCGGGAAACTTTTTCCGCCGATCCCCTCTGTACGTTGAAAAAGTTTCAAACTCTTGCATGCTGCCAGCAGAGATGGAATTCTCTGATATATCTCGTCGAATTTCGACTGTGCGCGAGATCACAATAGAGCCCCTGAAAAAGGAGCAGCGGAAGCACGAGTATATCACTCAGCTTGCTCCGTTTACTTCGTTTCGGCTCGTTGAATTACTCTAAACGCGTAACGCTCTGCGAGCGTGACGAATATAAGTGTTAAATTCGTAGATAAGGAGGGAATGTTCTATCACGATTTGGCCTGCATGCCTGCGAGAATTAGAGAATTTTGCACACGTGAACGTTTATATATAACACTAGCTTTGCTACGGTATGTAACTACTTAATAAATCCTAAGAGATATTGTGAGAAATCCGTGAAAACATATTTTATCTTTTTTCACTCCGTTAAGGGTCAAATTTCTAAAAATTTAGTGGGTGCTTACGTCATGGAAAGAATATACTCCTCGAATTTCATGTTTCTAGGTTTAGGCTAGGCGTTGGTCAGTCAGTTTGCAGTAATTTGTTTTTATATGTATATATTATAGGTGTAACGCTCGCAACAATGTGAAAAGATTTTAATCTGGAATGATATTACCAGAATTTCAACAGTATAGCTTACGGGTTCTGATGGATTTTTGACATTTTAGCCGTATGACAGTGGTTATTATCTCGCAAATTTCATTGGAATCTGATTAATTTGCACAAGATCAGAATTTATTGGGAAAAACTGTCACATGCCGCATAAAAAGGTTGCGAGCGCGCGCGCTTGCACATAAAAAATATTATAATTTTGTGAAAGTTAAAAGCGATGAGCTTTATCGTCTCTGGAATATTATATTATTTAACCCAGATCGCGCGATATATTATTACATTTTTGTATTACTGGATTCAAAGAAAATAAGGATTCATAAAAAATAATTATTTTTTATATGCTAAATTTGAAACATTGATAACAGTCTTTTTATAAGATTATTGAATTCTTGGAATTCTCTACTCAACAATTTTTGAATTCTTGGATTAAACCATTTTTTGTATTGTTACATTTTAAAATTGTTAGATACCAAGATTGAGGAAAATCTCGAAAAATTCTCAATATCTGCAAGCTTCAAATCTTAAAATATTGTTAAATTTTATTATTTTTGTATTACAAAACTCTTGTATTTTTTGTCATTTGTATATCTCCGTTTTACGTCCGTTTAAGTTCTTAAGAATCCTACAATTTCTCTCGTCTAACAATTCAGATTTCCTGAAATCTTTTTATTTGAGCTCTTATTCGGATTATCTTATTGTTTCATCGCTTCCAATTTTCACAACCACCAAAGTGTCAAGTTACGAATATCGAATCGTGCGCAAAGCGTCAACGCATCACACCGCAATATTGTAGACATCCGAAATTACAACGTCAACGTTTGTAAACAACATTGTCCGCTGCAGATGCACCTGAACCTCCATGTGTCAAAAAAGTTTTTCGCCACTTGAACGTTCAACCGTGTCGTTAATCCGATGCGACATTTTTTAATAAACAATATACGCTTTATGGGATGATTGTATTTCTTTGTACATACAAAAATGTTTAAACATTTAACATAATAATAATATATTTAAGATTATAAGAATTTGGGATAAAGGGCAATAATGTATAAATTTTGATTAAAAATGCAGAATTGAATTAATTCTCGTACGAGAATTCTTTTTTGAATAAAAGATAATTTTGTATACCTATAGGGCAATATATTATAGTAGTATTTTTTATCTACGCAGTGGCCCAGATTTTTTTCGCAATGTTGTGACTCTGCCACAGCCTTTTTCCGCCTGAATGAACCGGCTCGCTATTCACGCATAAGATTAATTAGCTTCAAGATCTCGGGCAGAAGACGGTGTGTGGGATACCCGACAGTGTAATCGAGCAATCCAATTAGCGGTCTCGGCGCAAAGCTCGAAAGCTCTCGAGCTCTTGTGGTCGATGCGAGTTTATTCGGCGCGTTTGGACTCGCATGTCCTTCGAGAGGACATTGATCTACCAGGTTACCGCCTTGTAAGGAGCGATACGTACCCCGCGACAAGTCCCTAGACGGCCCTAAAGTCACTGCAAAAGGGCCCGTCCGTTGGCAGAACTGAATCGATAACCGACTGTCCTTTTCTTCGCGCGTCCCCACGAGTCTGCGCGGCGCGCTTCGACGACGCTCGAGCTTTCCAGACATTCCAGCTTGCGAGGCCGGGTTACGCTTTATGACCCCTTCGATTTTCCCATTTGACAGAATTTCTAATGTACTTACGCCACGATAAGTCCACGTAACTCTTCATAGGATAGTCAAGTCTTAATTCGTTAATTATAATATAAACAAGCTCGAGCTTTGACACTGATTAATATGTAGTTGTAAGATAGGTGGTCGCTCTTCTTCATTATTTCCTGAAACTTTTGCACAAGTTAGGTACATCTATTTATAAAATTAAAAATAATTTATTAAAAATTAATGTTGAAGTTTAAAGGTAATAAGATTCTAAAAAAAGTTAGCATTTAAACTTCTTGTGCTTTTACTTTTCTGATGCTTTCTTCCAAAAATTAGAATTTTTAAAAGGAGCTTTTTAGGGAGACTAATTATTAATTTCTTGAATAATCCAAGTTAAAACAGAAAATATATTAAATAGTATTAATGTGATGAAGTGATATCTCGAGATATCAGCGAAGCTTAAGCGAGCCTGGGAAATGCAATCACGCTTCTGGTTTCACAAAAGGGAACCCTCTGTCCGGCCGGCGAGGTTTCGCGGCACCAACCCCGAAGTGTAATCCGTGGAATCGACCGTGGCGCGCTCGGCAGACGAGAATGGAGGCTCTGGCGTCGCGTTGCGCGAGAGCTTGCGGAGCTTTTCATTCCGGTGCCGTAGTCCGTCTCGCGAACCTCGCGGTGACGTTACACACGTCGCGTCGTGCCGGTTACCGTGCCGCCCCAACGTCCGAAGGGTGCCTCCCCTCTCTCCCATCCCTTCTCGCCGCGTCGGTCGCAGCGTCGTCAACCCTCAGGGTGTTAACGGGTGTCTGCGATAATCCGGGCGTCGCGCTGCGTGGCGTCTCTCGGCGCCGCGCTCGTCGGGCGTTCGCGAGCGGAATGCGCGCGGATGCGGCATCCGCCGCTGCTGGTCCTGTGAGGGTTGAAACATCCCCTTGGACTCACTTCCGGTGAACGCGGGCCGGAAGACACAGGTTCGCGCTATTCGAATATCCGGCGTTAACGTTGATCGAAGTGTAATACGGTTGAAGATAACGATGAAATAGGGAAGAGTTAATTAATTTGACGAAGCTAAGGAATGTTACGGACTGAAATGTGTAACAATTAGTTAATTAAATAAATTAAATTGTTTATGGACGTCAAAACTGAGAGATTTTAAAAAAGTAAACGGTATCAACGAAGAATTTAAATACTGAATTAATGTTTCTACCGGTAGAGACCGTTTGTGCAATTAACGTAACGCATTATAGTAATATATCAGCGATATCGGATCGCTGTACAATTGTTTACCCTGCCCATGAATGAGGAACAGATTAACTGGCGGAGGAAGATGAAATGTTAGGATAAAGAAGATTCATCGCGTCGTAAACTTGTGCAGTGTGCGGTTCGGTAGATTAATCAAAAGTTTGCGTGTTGATTGAGTTGATTTAAGCTCGACTTTCGGCTACCCACGCTCAGGCATTTGTAAAACGGGGAGTGAATTTGCGTTTGTGTGTTTGTGCGTTTAAAGTGATTATTAGGAAAAAAAAAGTGAATTCAGTGAGCGGAGTCCTTCCTCTTTTGATTCCATCGTGTGGAACCTCTCTTATTTCTGTGGTGAGTTTTAATAACAATAATTATTTTTAATCTTTACTTAGCTATTGTATTAATTATATCTTTTATGGCATATTTTTTCTGTAACCCAAAAATTGTAGATTTCTCAAAATGTGCGTTTAATTATCGTTTTATTGGGTATTATTAATATTTATTCAAATAAATCTGTGTAATTTAATAATAATGATAATATTAATAATAACGATAATAAATTAAAAATAATGAAAAAATATAATTGAAATAATAAGAAAAATATAATGCAATTAATGTACATTGTGTAGGAACAAGACTACTGTATTTTTTAAAGCATTAATTATATAAATCGTGATAAGTAAGAGTTGCAATTACAAACTTTGAATTTTTGACATTGCAAAACTTTATCATTTTGAAATAATTTACTCTAGATTATATGTACAGAATATAACTCGCATTAATTTTTATTAACAAACTTAAAAAAATTAAAATAGATATTTTCTTGCAATTGTTAATTATTTATTTAAATGAGCATTTCTCATTAAGGAAGTTAAAAGATATCCACTAATATACTTCGCTCTATCAGTCAATGAATATCTAAATAGCTTTAATTAAAGGCATTAATAGCATCCCATATTATATGTGAAACATTAATGCATTTATAAACAGTTTCGAAGAGAAACCAGTGCCGCAATAAATATTTAAATTGTTAAATTACGAAGCAAACAGTTTTTCACGTTCGTTTTTTCACAAATTCAATCATAATAATAAAAAAATGTTGTCCATTTGTTGGACAATTGAAATGTTCAATAAGTTAAAATTAATGAGGGAAGATTTCCGCCGGTCCCACGTTGAATTCGGAGCCGCACGGCGCGGCGCGGGCGGGCGGGAGGTTAAATGAGACCTCATCGTTTCGATCTTCCACATCACGCGGAAACATGGCGGGCGTTCTCGCTCAACAGTGAAATTCCTGTTTTTCCAACGGTAACCTGCCGCGGGGGTTTCCACGTTTAAATATTCCCGAAGTATGCAAATGCTGTAAATTCGCTGGAAAATATACCCGGAGAGCCGGGGCAGAGCGTAGCCTGCCGAGGTATCGAATCGTTATAGATATCGCGAAACGTTGCACGCGCGCACGCGAAAATGTATTAACCCTGTGGCCCGCCGATAATTTGCATAAACGGCCGACGGAATTTACGTGCGACCGCCATGTCGCCGATCCGCTTGCGCCCGCCCGCGTGCGCGCGCGCCGACTTCAAAGCGGATTACAAGTTTCTGACGATTTACGTGCTCATTATACCTTTGTGAGCTCTGTGGCGGTTAGTGCCGAAGCGCACTGCAAGAAGTTTCAGACACTTCTGGAATAAACTCCGGCGCGATATATCTTTGGCTTCGGCGGTTACACGAGGCACGTAATGTTGCTCCAACCCTTAAGCGCGTAGCTTAGCATATATACACTCTTTCGAGCATGTAAACATAATTAAGTGTCTGCAGATGCAATTACCCAGACAGCACGCATGTCTAAAAGATGTATGTCGCAAATAAGACTGAGTACATTCCTTGAAGATATATTTATAAAGATAATTCCGACGGCGATTAATCGCGATAATAATCGTGATTCACGTCCCATTTAACAGGAGATTGCCTTTTCCGCAATATTTTTTGCGCGTGTCGCGACATTTTGAATAAACCCAAGTCACATCATAAAAATACCGCAGAAAAATTTGCGCGATTCTACGAGCGGTGCGATATTGTTCTCGAATCGAAACGTGTCTTTCGACGACGACAAGCGTCCAATCTCATATTCTGTATTTCCTTCGAAAATACGCCTCTTGTATTTGTAGCGTATTGGAAAAATAATCCCGCCCGCGCCGTCGCGCCACGCCGATTTGGCATGGGCGCGAAAGAGGGCCCGAAAATGCAAATGTGTTTCTATATTGATAAATGTAGGAGGCGCGGCTAACAAACACACACGATTCCCGCGCGCACACTCGCGCGATTCCCGCGATTGAATGAAATTTGTTCTGCTTACGTACATATAAGACGCCTGATTTATCTTTCCCGACGCAACGGCGAAACGCGGATTACGTGCCTCGCATGTGTACACTCGGCGTTTCCCGTCTCAAGAAATATGCGGCGAGATTCGACGGACGAATGCGCAATCGCTTCTGCTATCATCGCGCGAAATCGTTTATCACCATCTTAATATTCATGACGATACGGGCGAGAACCGCGGCGCCGTACAAGACTGTTGATGAAAGTGCAAAGCTTACATTGTGCGAGATAAATATTAACGATATCAATACGTGCTTTCTAAATCTTAGCGCGTATGATCGTGATAGTCATTCTAAAAAAAGGATTGTCACTCTAATTTGAGTAAATATGCAGACACTTATGAAGTAAGAGTAAATTTTTTACTCAAATTTTTAGAGCTGCTGCTCTACAAGTGATAGATCTTATTCTAAAGCTATAGTGAATCACGATTCACTAAAGATAGATTGATAAATGACTCTACAGAGTGAAAATTTTTCACTCAAATTTGTAGAGTGACATAAGTCACTCCTATAGACACTGATCTACTGCACTCGAAAAGAGTGCCCTTTTATTCAAATAGAGTGCCATTTATAAAGCAATTTTACTCTTTCTTATTGTTAGAGTGGCGAATCACTCGACTTGCATAGGCTCAATTTTTACTTTTCGTTACACTTGCATTTCACACTCGTTTTGAGTGATATTTCAATCTTCGACTTGTCAAGAGCGTGCAGAGTGTAGTTGCTTACAAAAAATGTACATATTTAAAATAAAATATTTATTTCATATAATTACAAATCTACTTTTGTCTCTGATACATGCAAGTTCAAGAGTGCCGCACATATACCCATAGAATTTTACATTCCAAATTCTAACTCTTTCTTCCTCTCTCTTACACACAGATTAACCATCGTCGCTAAAACTAAAGGGAAATTCTTCGACTTTCTCCGCACGTAGCCGCTCGCAAGATTACTTCAGGTAGTTGGAAACTTATTTCATGCTGTAAATGGTCTCGCTCATGCACACGTAGTACGTCCGGAGTATATATAGTAAGTGTTCGGCTACGCGATATCCGAGATTGAGAGCCTGATTCACGCCGTTGCGCGGTAGTGAATAGGGCATTCGCTCTCGCGGTGACGAGACGAAAGCCGCAAGTTTTGATGAAATGCATTCTATGCGCTGCGGTGTGACTATATAAGAGGAAGACTTTCGGTAGGCGTGCGTGCTGGGTAACGCGTTTCTGGTTAAGCGTGCGCATACACGAGACACAAAACGGGAAATCGAGACAGCGAGCGCGAACAGGAGAATTCATCCCCTTCGTCGGAGGCTCTCCTCTTCTTGGCTCTACTTCGACTTCATCTCAAGTTGTCCCCGTTTCGCGCCATAATCAGAGTTCAGCCAACTTCGCTCTTTCTTCGCTTCTGCCGCAGTCCCCTTCAACTTTAGACGTATTATTCTTTCTTTCCCTCTTTTTCCTAAAGTTTCTTTCCGGCGTGAATAGAATCTTGCCGGTTCAAAAATCAAAGATCCAAGGTTCTAAAATTGAAATATAAGGGGTTTTGTAGAATGTATAACGAAAGAATGTATAACGATCTCGGAACTTAAAACTGCATAAGATTACAGCGACTCAATAAAGAACTCAAGTATATTATAATAATCTTCTAAATGAAAAGGACGTTAAAATGTAAATTTATATCGTATTAAATTGTGCTTAGAAATTGCTTAAGTTTTAAATATACGGGCATTTTTTATGTATATTGACAATATTCTAAGTTTTTATTTTGCATCTCCATAATTATTTAAAGACCTGTGAGTATACTTTTCAAAAAATTTTTACTTTCTTGATACATTTTTAAATGTCGGATTTCAAATCTTTCAGACTAAACAATTTTGGAAAAAACATCTTAAATTTCAGATTTCCTGAAAACTGTTAGATCTTAAATGTATATATTAGATCTTTTACATCTTGAACCTTTTAAATCCCAGATTCTTCAAAAGATTAAGAGTATCTTTCAGTTTTAATAAATTTTAGAATTAAAAAATTATCTTGATGTTCGTGATCTTTAATTTATTAAATCATGAGATTATAAATTTTCGATTATATACCTTATCTTCTTTTATCGTCTTATCTCCTTACATTCTCTATAATTTTATCTTTATAACTTTTTTTTATAATTTCAAGGTTTAATTATTTTAATCGGGTATAATACCTTTTCTTCCTACGTTTTTACAGGAATTTCTTGAATTTGTTTGAGCGTTTGTATACAATTATAAGTAATGAGAAGTCAAAAATGTAACAAATGATTTTTCACTCATTGATATATAATAATAAATTATAACAATATAACTTATATATAAATTATATCAATATACTTATATAACGATTTATATGAAGGGCGATCCCTTCAGTAAGGAAAACGTTTATTATCTCAGCTACTAGTCGCAACATTAATTGGATGACAAAAATTTATTAGCGTCTGTGTATTCGCAGCGCATTCGCGCACATCGCGCCACATCGGCGCGTTATATTCCGTCGAAAATTGCGAGCGGAGAATCCTGCGGACGCGTGGAACTCGGCCAAAATGCAATGTGCACACTATGACGCGCTGTATCTCGCGCACGCGGGCACTGGGACTGAAAAATGTCTCACTTTACACCGTAGTTTTAGTATCGCCATTTAAGTAACATATCGCGGTATATAACTTCGCCTACTCTCGAGCAAGCGAGTTTTGGGCTACGGGTCGATAATCCGTCGTAGCGCATTTGATTACGATATCGCCTGACGCGCATTTCTGGAATTATCAGATGCCGACTCCGAATCTCTCAATACATATTCGATATTTTTACGATATGCTTCAAAGTTTGGATTTTTCAATATCCTCCAGTACTGAAATCCTAAAGTTGCAGAAATATCAAATATTTGTTTAATACTGTGGTTTGAGGATGAAACTTCTGAATGTGACATCAGTGCCTCGTCGCAACTGTAGATTTTCAAAGCT